AAAAGGCAGAGGAACCAGAGATCAAATTGCCAACCTCTGCTGGATCATCAAAACAGCAAGAGAGTTCCAGAAAAACATCTATTTCTGCTTTATTGACTATGCCAAAGCCTTTGACTGTGTGGATCACAATAAACTGTGGAAAATTCTGAAAGAGATGGGAATACCAAACCACCTGACCTGCCTCTTGAGAAACCTGTATGCAGGTCAGGAAGCAACAGTTAGAACTGACATATGCTTCTGGGTCCCACAGCTCCCTCAAAGGCATTTTTGTCCCATGGGACCCAGAAGCATATGTCAAAGGACCCAGGAGGAATCTTTCCCACTATTGTCCTGGATAGTAGGCAGACAGATCTCAGTCCTGGTTGTGGACTCTACAGTTGCCTATGTACCAATTCTAAGCCTCTCAGCCACAGTCTAAAACACTGTCTTAGACAATCACAGTTGAATGAAAGACCCTTTGTAGAAGCACAGGTTTCCAGATGAGAAGTTCCAGCACACCACTGGAGAAAAAGAAAAAAAAAAAAGGCTATACAATTTGAATGCATTTGAGTAGGTAAAAAGAGCAGTTTGATCTTACCCACCTTATACCTCCCCTAAGGTGGCACAGCTTAAGGTCAAGAGAGATCTTCTCAGCTGTGATTTATCCTAGAGGAGAAAGGTAAGCATATGGCTTCCCCAACTGTGTAGGCTGCTGCCAATGGGGCTCATTTCTCTCTTGCTCCACCTAGAGTGTAGAATCATGAGCTACATGACTGAAGGACAGGAAAAGGATGGGAAAACTGGACTAACGAAGGACTAACAGGGCATTAAAAAGATGCAGAGCATACTTACTGTCCACAGACTCCATCTACAAGCCCATCTGCAAGCCACTGAGAATGCCTAATACGCAAATCTCCCCAGCTAACCCACAGGCACCCACAGCTCTCCTTATGTGACCTGCACATTTCCCAAGCCTGTAGCCTGTTCCCTGCGCACACTCCAGACAGTGGCAGAGAGAATAATCTTTGGCAGGTGACTATGAGCACGCAGTGCAGGAGACCTGGGTGTGTATGATCCCTGGGTCAAAGACCCCCTGGAGAAGGGAATGGCTATCTACTTCAACACTCTTGCTTGAAGAATTCCATGGATAGGGGAGCCTGTATAGTCCATGGGGTCACAGAGTCAGACATAACTGAGCAACTACCACTTTTCATTATGAGCACAGAGAAACCGGATTCCAATCTGTGGGCTGGGGAGAGACCACAGACTTGAGATTTAGCATCATCTTTTGGAAAACAAAAGAGGCTGTCAGCACACACCTGTTTTTTTGCAAGATTCAGAGAAGGCATACTGCTTTAAAATTCTGCCACAAGAAGTGTGGAGCAGTTGTACCCATAGAAAGTCTGAGATAGCGTCACAATCTCAGCAGGGCTATGGAAGGTATCTGTCTCCTGAAGGCCGTTAGTAAGGACTGGAGAAGGTGACTGGTAGACCATTAGTAAAGACTGGAGGAGGTGACTGGAAGACTGCTGACTTCCAAATGTGAAGACAGCAATACAGACAACTTCTAGGAACATGAAGTATCAAGGTAACATGACAACACAAAAGGATCACAATAAATTTCTAGTAAACAAACACAAAGACATGGGAACCTGCAATTTATCCAACAAAGAATGCAAAATAACTATTTTAAGGAAACTCAATGAGTGACAAGAAAACACAGAAAGACAATTCAATGAATTAAAAAACCAACATATGAGAAAAGTGATGAATTTAACAAAAAGATAGAAATCATTAAAAAGTATCAAATTCTGGAAGTAAAGAATACCAAAAAATGCAGTTTTCACTGCAACTGAGAGTACCAAAATCAGAATAAAACAAGAAGAAGAGGCACAAAGACAGAAATATAGATCAATGGAACAGAATAGAAAGCCCCTAGATAAATCCACGAACTTATGGTCACCTTATCTTCGACAAAGGAGGCAAGGATATACAATGGAAAAAAGACAACCTCTTTAACAAGTGGTGCTGGGAAAACT